GGAGCTCTGGCAGCCTTGGGGCCGTGCCCACTGCCCTGGGGAGCCTGGGCAGTGCCCAACCAGCCTCTGGGGGAAGAACCTTTGCCTGAGATCCAACCTGACCCTGCCCTGGCACAGCTCCAGCCCTTCCCTGGGTGCTGTCCCTGTCACACAGTGCTGCCCCCCGCCCGCCCCTCATGAAGAAGCTGCAGACACCGATGAGGTCAAATCATTAATTTTAATGACTGGAAATTAACCTTCCAGCCGGGCTCCAGCTCCATAAAAACCTGCCGGCATCACCCGAAATTCCCTGAGCACAGGATGTCCCGCTGGGATGGAGGTGACGCCTGCGGGCTGCAGGGGTGGCTGGGGGTGGAATAGGAAATACCAGGGCTGGCAGCGAATCCAAGGTGTGGAGAATCCCTGTTTTTCGGGGATAGAGACAGACCTGAGCACTCTGGCTGAATCTTCCTCAGTCACCTGCACTGGCGATGCCCGGCAGGAGTGACTGTCCTGGAAAAAGTCTCTTCCCAAAATCCTGCCCCCAGCTCCGGCTCCATGAGGGTCTCCAGACAGGCAGGTATTCCCTGTACACCCCTGGATCTGATCCATGTCAGTTCAAGATCTGTTGCTTCTCAGTTAAAGGAAGAACAACAAACCCCAAACCGTAAAAAATTACCCCAGGTCATAAATAAAATGTTAACCATTCTCTTTATGCTTTTCCTTATTCTATTCCTCATTTACAAGCACTACCTTGGAGAACTGGAATGGCATTGTATGTCTGTGAACACAAGGTGGCAGGATTAAAAAGCAGATTTTGGGTACAGCTACATCCCATAAATGTAGGGATGGTGAACTTGTTTCCCGATGGAACAGGAATAAAGTGTTGGAAATAACCAGGAGAGAAGCTGCAACATTGTCCTCCAGTACGGCCAAGAAGCAGGATCCTATTCCCAGTGAAAGTACAGCAATAAAAGCTCAAAAATTAAATCAGTTAAAAGAACTGAGCATTAAGATAAATGAAGCAAAGATAGGTTTGATTAGCTCAAGATCCTCCTTGTGGAAACCGTTTTCAGAGGGACTCACAACACTCCAAACAAAATGCAATTCCCGAGAAGATTCTCAGTGGACATTAACTTTGGGGCCAAGAAAACGCTCAGAGAAATAGAGAAACCCTTAAAACTTATTTACTGCTTTAAATCAAGCAAATGTGCCAAAGTCTGAAAAGTTCTAAAGAAATAAAAATAATTCATTGCAAACTCAGGACGGGATTAAAACAGAGGTAGCTTTAATGCTGCTTCAGACTGAAGTTAAAAACATGTAGAGAATGATTTAAGTTCATCAATTTAAAACAGAACAGTCTTAAACCCGTGTAAACAATATCCAACATCTCAACAGTGTCCATAAAAGGAATTTATGTGTCTTAAAAATAAGCTTATTCTAAAGGCCCTTAGAGTTCAAGAAAATCGGTTAATTAAATGAATAGTTATGTGTGGAGAACAGGAAAAAAAACCAAAGCAACAGTCTAAAAAATAAATATGTAGAAATCAAGAAAAATAAGGAGAGAACAGCCTATTAAATTTTAAAATAGTTGAAACAGTCACACAAAAACTTTGATCAAACAGGACAAGAAATGAGGGGAAGGAGCAGTTTATATACAAAAATAATTTTAAAATCTATGGTAACAGATTTTTACAGTACTTGTATCCTAAAAATAGTTTTGTATTATTCATGTAAGTGTATTTTATAATTTATTTCCTAGTGTAGTTTATTAACAAAACTCGTAGAAAAGCCGAAAATAAAAAGTCAGGAAGAGATGAGCAAAATGTCTTATCTGAAGACACAGATATCTGCATTGGGTTCATTCTAAGACAGGGTTCTTAAGGTGTGTATCTGGTTCCTCTGCTCACATGACACCGAATTTTCCAGATAAGTAGTTTGTTTTTCCTTGGGATGTTGCATTCCTTCCATCACCTGCCTTGGAAGGCGTGTCCATGGTAGTGTATCTGATCTGAAACCCACCAGCAGTGACCGAGGCATCTGTCAAAAACTTCAAGGTCATCACATTGCCTGGGACAAGGAAAAAGAAAAACAAAGGTTACATTTCGGGTGGCATAAAAATGTGATATTTCAGGGTTCTATATTTGCTTTTGAAGTGCTCTTGGTTGCTGAAATTCTGAGATTTTCACAGCAATGCACCGGCTCTAGAAAGAACTGTGGAGGGGTTTTTTACCAGAAATAAATTACCTGTGCTGATGATGTCATCTGGCAACTCATCTCCACAAAACCTGGAAAAAGATAGGAATATTCATGGTTAAAGGATACAGGAATTGTGGCACAGAACCTGCTCTGAGCTGGGGCTCTCAGGCTGTTCTTTCCTTAGAGAATAAGGGGATAAATTGGTTTTAAGTCTTCGGTGTGTGCAATTTTATGGTAAATCTACTACCTAAAGAATTTTTAAACATTACCCCACAGTAAGGTTTAGAGGAGGGAAAAATGCAGGAAGTAGCTCTCAATATGCTCAGGAAGTAAATAATGCAAGGCAAGAAAAAAAGCAATTTAACAAGGCTTTAAGTAGAAGAACAGCAGCCCAAGGATAAGAAAGGAAGGATATTGTCAGAAAAAAACCATTTAAAATTATCTGTAAAAGCAAAACACACAGAATATCCTTGCTTTGCTATGTATGATCTGTAGGGAGGATGTGAAAAGTGGCAGGAATTGGGAAGTGCCTTCTATCACTTTTTATGGTTTGGTTTTTGTTTGCTTTGTACAGTCCCTGTACTGGAAAATCGAGATGTTTCACACCAAAATATGACTTATAAAGGTTAAGTAAAAGTATGACGTTGAAGAAAGTGAGAATTAAGCAAAGAAGGAACTAAACCTAATAAGAGAGATGATATATAGCACTTGTTCTGATATTAGCTAATACTTCACTTCTGTAGCAAATAGCAAATTAAATATATTTTTGCTAACATCTCACCTCCCTCCTTTCGATTAAAGCAAACACAAAATGCTGTTTGAGATTCCTGAGAGTCCTTCCTGTGAAATACTGGAGAATCAGGATAAGCAGCTGACTAAAAAGCCTTGCAGCTTTCTCTCATCTCGTTTAGCAAAGCAAAAAAAGGGCAAAGCTGCCTTCCCTGAAACTCTTAACAGGCATGTGTTAATAATATTAAAGTAAATTGGGGAGATTAAAGTAAAGGAAGGATAAATCAGGTCCTATTGCTGCAGGAATTAAGGACATCCCAGCAGTGCTAATTGGATAAGGGATACAGTGTCCTCCTAAAGTTCTGGGGGGCAAATTTAATCATTTATTTGCATATTAAGGCTGGATTTGCTTTACCTGCCCACAAAGCCATTGACATCATCGTAGCTGTCATAGACTTCCAAGAAATCCGCCATACAAGCGACGTCGTCTTCCACGTCAAACTCCAGGAACTGCAGGTGGATCCTCTGCCCATACTTGACTCTGATGTGCCAGTAGCAAATCTGCTCGTTTTCATACTCATTTGGGTACCCTGGTGACTTAAAAACATGCCTGGAGTCTGTGAAGACTCCACCACACTCCTTTCCTAAGAGAGAAATAAAAACGTCAGGGTTTAAGTATTCCTTCTGACTGTGGCTATGGTTTGAATCTTTGGGCAGATCCATTAAAAAATCCCACAGGAGCAGTGATAGAACTTCTCCTGTGTTCAAGCACTCGGTGAATGTCAGTCATTCCCAGCTTTTGGGAGAAGGTATTTTGGAAGCAAGATGTGAGCACTGAATTCAGAGGAAAAGCTTTCATTGACTTCAGTGGACTTGGGGCCAGAGCTGTGTGTTTTGTGTCAAAGGCATTTGGGATTTCTGGCTTCTTCAAGCTTTATAGGTGGATTTGCAAGTCCCCCTGACTCTCAGTGTCAGCCTTTCTTCTTCAAAGACCTCTTCAAAAAGATTTCTACAAAAAGCCTTCTGAAGGCTGGTGGTCACATACATGGGGGTGTACTCCTGTTGTTCCTGCAGCTCTTCACTCCCTTTGGGATGAAAACACTTGTTCCAGTTTGATTCATGCTCCAGTAGCTGGAATAGCGTGTCCAGCTCTGGGGCTGCAACACAAGAAGGACTGGAGCTGCTGGAGCAAGTCCAGAGGAGGCCACGGAGATGCTCCCAGGGCTGGAGCCCCTCTGCTCTGGAGCCAGGCTGGGAGAGCT